TTTTGTAATTTTTGACGAAGTCGGGGCTTTACCTGCGAGTAAGTCCCGGTCGTCGTTTGTAAATAAGCTTGTATGTATGTAAATATTTGCTTAACCGCCTGCGAGCGGGAAAGATTAACGTATATACGATCGGTGATTGCTCGACCGCTTGCATGCGTCGGCCCGATCGGTTAATTTCTTATCTCTAGTGCCTGCAGATTTATTTACCTTCAAGCCAAGCCGACCGGGCGAATCTATCGACCGGTCAAAAGCGCTCCACATCGGCGGACATTCGAGTCACGCCACCGATCGGGGAAGCTAGGAGCTCTCAGCATATATCCCCGATCCGTCCAACTTCTTTCCACGACTGCACCCACTCGTGCCTCGAGTGCACAATCGTGTGGGGGCTGGGATGAAGGAAGTGTTAGCAGGCCCGTCGCTCGGTTATATTCCGACTGCAGAGGCTTGCTTGTTTTCAAAAGTTTTCGACAAAGGCCATGAGATCGGGTAAACCCGCTCGGATGGCCAATCTGACGTCGAAACCCCGTAGCTCCGACCGGGCCATTAGGCCGTAGGATCGGGTCACGAACGGGTCGAGCTGTGCAAGACCGGGCCATAAGGCCGTGAGGTCGAGCATTAAGGATCGGCATTCCTACGCAACTTAAAGAAAAGGCGTGAAAAGGAAAACGAGCAACACAACTTCACCAAAATAAAAATTCATTTATAAAAAGGGTGCCCGGTACAAAACTCGGGACCGGGCTCCCGATCGAAATCATTTACAAAAAGGGAAGAAGGAATAAGACTAATCTACTTCTTCGAGCTCTCCGCACCGGCCTTCTTCGGCGAGCCTTCTCTGCCCGGAGCAGCATCGGCCCCGCTCACCTTAGCCCGGCTCTTCGGGTCAAAAGGCGCCGGGCCGGGGTCGGGCACCTCGTCGGGAAGCGTGGTCAGGACCAGTTGGAGGTCGTCCCCTTCAAGGGCCTGCTCCATGATCTTCCGGGTCTGGTCCCTCATTTTACGTTGGCCGGCCTTATATGCCCACCGGCCAAACGTCCATATCAATTTCTCCCCGACCTCGGTCCCTCGGACGGACTGAAGGAAGCGACCGCCCGACTCGGTGTCCTGGAAGAGGTGCTGCGCGAGTTTGTCCGGGTCGCTTTGTCGGGCCTTGAGCTCGGCGGCTTCCCCGATCGCTTGCTGGGCGACCTGCTCGGAAAGGTCTCGCTCGGCCTTGACCTTCTTCAGCTGGGACTCCAGGTCCCGGATCTCCTGTAGCCGCCGGTTGGCGACCTTCTTCAGGGCTTCAGCTTCGTTGGCCTGAAGTGCCCGCTGCTGAAGGAATTGGGTCGCCCGGGAGATCTGCACACATGAAACGATCGTGTTAGCCGAATGACAATACTTAGAAGAGGTTCAGAAAGGGGAAATGCGTTTACCTCAGCCAGGTCGAGGCCGATCTTCTCGGCCACTTGGCTCGGGGACAGCTTGGAGAAATCCTCCTTTGCCGACCCAGCGTTCCCGATCCGAGCAAGGATCGAGGATCCACCCCTGCTACCCCCGCCCGAAGGGGTCGGGCTGTGTTGCTCCCGGCACCGCTTTAAGGCTCCGGTCTCCGAGGTGGTCTTCTCGGCCACCTTTTCCTTTCCTTTCCCGACCGACACTCGGGAGACCAGGACTTCAGAGGCGTCCACCACGAAGCCTTCGGTCGTAGTTATGGTGGACGCCCCGATAGGTCGGGCAACCAGGATCTCCTTCTCCCCGGCTGGCTTAGCTTGGCTTTTCTTCTTGCCAAGGGAGATCTTGGCCACCGGGCGGATAGGGACGTCTTCATCTCCAAAACCGGCCATTGCTGCAAAAAAGACAAAGACAGATATCAATAAGAAAAGCGGTCGGGAGTGAAGGGCCCGGGGTCGGGATGATCCTTAGGCCTTTACCTTTCTTCTTGCCCCGGCCGGGCATCTTCGCGATCGTAACGCCCCGAGGCTCGGGCTTGTACTTATCGGGTATATCGTACACGGGCTCGGGCAAGTCAGCCGCCTCGTAGCTCTCGGGTGATTTAAAGATTTGGTATTCATAGATCTCGCCCGAGATCTTTCTTACGGCGTCGATGAGGGTCGGCGTCTCGACCGGGACGACTTGCTTCCTAAAACGCTGACTCTAGACCCTCTCGACCGGCAGGATCCACGGATCGTACTTCACGGAGAAGATCCGGTCCTTCCACCCCCGGTTATTCCCGGGCAGTCCATCCATCGAGCACTTATCGGCTCGGGACTGGGTCATCAAAAAGCCTCCTCCGTACGCGGCTGGCAGCACCTTCACTTGATACACGAAGTTGAAGAGCTCCATGGTGCAGGCCACGTCGTGTCGTCGGCAGATCTGGGGGAAACACGCGATCATCCGGTGCGCGTTCGGGCAAATCTGCCCGGGCATGACCTGGTAGTACCCTAGGAACGCGGTGAGCAAGCTTGAGAAAGGGAAGGTGATCGGGGCCATTAACGAGTCGTAATGCAGCCCGATCCACTTCCCGTGGTGCCGCTCGATTATGTTCCCGAGCTGCCTGCTGGTGTCGTACTCGACCCGGCCAGATAAAACCGCCGCGATCCTGCTGGCTTCCCCTTTGGTCAGCAAGCTCTGGTGACCCTCTACGCCTTCGCTGTTGAGGAACTCGTACCCGTCCCCACGAGCTGTTGCTGGCTCGGCCGGGTCTCCTTCGACGTCCTCGGCTTCGTTGGCCTGTTGCCCTTCTTCAGGCTCGGCCTGAGGGTAATCCCCTATTACCCTCAGCGGCGTTCCTTGAACATCCTCAACCGGGGAGTTCCGCTCGCTCGTGGACGTTTCTGCATTCCCCGACCCGCTAAAGCTCGACCCCGACGTCTCCGACGAGCTGGTGGACGCTTCCGGCTCGGGGGCTTGCTCGAGCACTGGCGGTGGTCGTCGCTCGACCTCTGGAGAGTAAGACATGATGTCTATCTCCTCGCTGCTCTGCTCGATCGTGTCGTCGTAGTCGGCAATCGAGACGTTTTGGCTATCCGAGTCCGACATTCGTTCTACCTAAAGGTCGGTCGGAAGTTAGTATAGGGCTCGGGATGTTAGCGCGAAGTTAGTATTGCCCTACCTCTATGCTAAACGATGAATAAAGAAGAAAGTAGAGGAATTAAGAATTTACCGAGTGATGGAACTTGGAAGGAGATTCGAAGTCTTGCTTTGCTCGAGTGGGCTGCTGATCTGCTGCTCGGGATTCTCTGAGAATGCCGGTTGCGTCAGAAGATTGAGGAAAGTTTAAATGAGGGCCTCAAAGGCCTATTTATAGGAGAGCATTTAGGCGGGAAATTCATCCACTTGCGTGACACGACCCGCACTGACTCCGAGGCGACGGTTACAGTCGCAGAGGCCAGCAGTGGCCGACACGTGGCGAGGAGGGGAATGACAGCTGGCCGGTCGGTTTAGTGGCTGAGGGTTGGACTTCTTCATCCCGTCCCGTTTTTTCCCGGACGATCAAAAAGGCCCGGACTGGGGGGCTCTTGGTAGGGAATATCCCGACCGACATAGCTTCACCACGACCGAGGTGCCTTTGTCCTTTTCTCTCTGTCCTTGCAGGTAACAGGTCGGGCTCCTTGAGAAGAACCCGGTCGGGAACCGACCGGGAGTTGCCCGAGCGATGGTGTCAACCCCGAGCGGTAGTCCTTCGGCGAGAGAGCTGACTAAAGACACGTGGCGGCTTTCTACGACGACAGACAGGGCACCCGGGAGGAGGACACGTGGAGGCTACGTGGAGAGCATGCCGAACGGCTGGATCTTTGTCTCCGGCGTCGCTGCTATAAATACCCACAGTAGCTACAGTGTAGGGGACTTTTGGACGATCGACAGGTTGTTATTAGAGACTCCCGACCGCAGTCAGTCGGTACTCAGAGCAACCAAGTAGATTGTACTTAGGAACTCTACCTTGATCAATAAAGACTTTACTTGCTTTAATTGGTCTTGTGTTATCTATATTGCTCGCGTAGAATTAGCAGTATCAAAGTTATTCTTTATTACACCGCATAAAATAAGCATTTCATATTTCCAATAAAATCCATCATTTTAAGTAAAGTTGTATTAATAATATTCAAATATAATTTAATGTACTTGTAATATATATTGGTAATCAAAGTTAATTGTTAGGCAATAAAATATGTTAAATGTACGCATACATATATAGATGCATAAAATATGTCTCTAAAGGAGTAACTAACATACAAATAAATCACTAATAATTAATTTTTAATTTTTATACATTATTTAAAAAAATTTATAAATAATTAGTAGTTTATAAGGTAGGTATTGGATTAGTGATAACAAATCCTTAGGAGAAAAAATAAAAACCAATCTCAACCTCACATGTGAAAAAATATAATGCACCAAATCAGATTTTTTAAAAAAATACGGTAATATTTTCATAATTATCACAAATTTTATTATGCAAACTTGAACACCAAAATTGATAATTTTTAGACTTTTTCATATTTGCATATTTAGTATTGACATTTTAAGTGAAGCGTAGTATAATTCGCCTTTTTAGTAGGCAATTCGCACTACTAAAACAATTTAGCCGCTGGTGAAGAAAGTTGATAGTAGGCGAATTATACTCCGCTTCACAAGTGGCGGGGATACTTGGGGTTGTTCAAGCACCGAACTTTGGGAAATATTTGGGCCTCCCCTCATTTATAGGAAGGAATAAGAAGGCAGCTTTCTCGTATATTGAGGATAAAATAAGGCAGCGAATCCTTTCTTGGAATAAAAAATTGCTATCGCAAGCTGGTAAGGAGGTCTTATTGAAAAGTGTGGCTCAGGCAATGCCTACTTTCTCAATGAGTGTCTTTTTACTACCTATGGGGGTTTGCACGGCTATTGAGCGCGTCATGAACCGATATTGGTGGGGACCTGGGAATGACCGTGGAATTCATTGAAAGGCTTGGGACAAGTTGTGTATACCAAAGAAGTAGGGTGGTCTGGGCTTCAAACAACTGCATGCTTTTAATATAGCAATGCTGGGAAAACAGGCGTGGCGGTTTTTAACCAAACCTGAATCATCGGTCTCGCGAGTCTACAAAGCGAGGTATTATCCAAATGGGACCTTTTATGATGCCAAAATAGGAAATAATCCCAGTTTTTGTTGGCGTAGTATAATGGCAGCTCAGAGTATGGTTTGTAGTGGAATCAGGCGCAGAATTGGGAATGGAAAAACAACCCTCATCTGGGACCACCCATGGATGCAGGATGAACATGATTCAATGATTCATACAGATAAGCCAACATATTTGAATAATGCAGTGGTGATGGGATTAATTGATCAAGAGACACAGACTTGGGATCCGGATATATTGGCAGATATTTTTAGTCCTACGGATGTGGATAGGATAAAAAAGATCCCAATATCACCGGATTATGAAGATATGTGGTATTGGTATGATGATCAGGGAGGAAATTATACTGTTAAGAGTGGGTACAAGACAATTGTGGGAACTCTCAATGATAATACGAGCACCCATAATTGGTTAGGCCTATGGAAATTAAAAGTCCCCCCAAATGGAAAACATTCTTGTGGAAGGCTTTGAGTGGTATCCTCCCTACCACAACGAATTTGATTATAAAGAGAGTGGATGTACAATCAACATGTGCTATGTGTGGAATAATGGATGAAGATACAATGCATGCTTTAGTAACATGTGATTATGCAACATCCATTTGGGCTCAATCTCACCTTCCAATCCCCATGATAACAACAAATATTTTTTATGATTGGTTTAGTGATCTATTGAATATTTTAGACACTAACCAAATTGTTCACGCAGCTGCTATCTTATACCACATTTGGAGAGCCAGAAACGGAGCGGTATGGGATGCATGTCTACCGCGACCACGGAAGGTGTTAGCCGTGGCCAAAGCCACCACACTTGCATGGCAGCGGGTCCACCCCACACACCGCCAAATAAACCATCACGCTGTCGCGCAAGGCCACCTTACTACCACTGCCGTGGCACGGCAGCAGCAGCAACACGCCACTGCCGACACACACGGACTGCCGGACGATGCTGGCCACACGACGTCGCCGACGGAAGATGCCGACTCCATCCGCAAATGTTATATCGATGCCGGTTTTATGCCTGCTACAGGAAAGGCTACGGTTGGCGCGATTTTGTTCGACGAAGAAGGAGAATATGTATCGGCTTTCAGTGCGCCCTTATCAAATTGTCTTTCACCGCTTATGGCTGAGACAATAGCGTGTAAGGAAGCCTTGTCTTGGCTATGGAATCGCGGGGAACGATCAGTACGCTTGCTTACAGATTGCTTGACCCTACAACAATATTTGACAAGTCGAATTGTCACAATACGGACTTACGTCGGCTATGCCATTGATGCTTGTAGAGCACGTATTACTTCTTTTGATTACTGCTCAGTTAATTTCATTCCTAGATCAGAGAACTATTTAGCTCATAGATTAGCAACTTCTGCTTTTAATTCTGCTACAGTTATGTATTCGGACAATGTCCCTCCAGACTCTATTCTGAGTACTTCTAATATATGCCTCATTGGCCACCTTTCAAAAAAAAAATACTCCGCTTCACATATTGTTTTGATAGTGCAAATATACTCCTCTTCACACATTTAATAGGCAATTTTTAGACTTTTTCATATTTGCTATGTGAGTTGCATATTTGGTTGTTAAAGATTACATATTTAAGTGTTAAAATTTTTCTAATAAAATTGATGATAGTTACGAATATGACACCACACTTTTTTATTTTGTTTTGTTTTTGTTTTTGTTTTTGTTTTTAAATGTAATCAGATTCGTTAAATTTTTACAGATGCAAATCTAAAATTTATTCTTAATTTTTCATAGAGATGTGTTGTTATGAGATCCTAAGCCTTATAAGTTATCCACTAACTGATAAAAATTATTTACTCCGTACTAAACAACTCTATAATTAATGAACTAACTTCTCATCACAGCTCAGCTTCGTTGAAGGTGCAAGTTGGTCACGTACATGTGAAAACATTCATATTTCTTTGTCATGTCTTGTGGGGACCGAGTCAAACATTAGTGTCTTTAAGTAGAATAGTGGCTAGTGGACACTCATAATTGATGATATCAACAACCTTTGGACAGTGATATGGATTGAATAGTCCAACTCACATGCGGAGTAATAACAGTACAGAGTCCTTTCTTTGTTCAATTTTTTTGTTTTGTGAACCCTTTCTTTGTACAAATATGAGATTCATAGGATAGCCCACATGTACAACTCAACTGATTATAGTGGTAAAACTTAAAAGTTAAAAAAAATGATCAGGGATCGAGTTTCAACGGTAGTAGTGTCAGAGCAATCTCTCAAAGTGAGGAGGGTTCTTTGTGCGCAGTAAGTAAAGGTCTAACCCTTTATGGTCACTTGAGTTATCATGATTTACATTCTCTCAATACTTTGTCAGGCCGAGATCGGGTTCAACCTTTTGAAAAGAATGAGATTCATAGGATAAAGTATCGTTATTAATTCTTATCACGTTAGAGAAATAAAAAAAATATAATTAAAAATCTATACAGTATATTTCTTTTTTCCTAATTATTATTTCATAAAAGTATTATACATTTCATACTAGACTAGTTTTTTTATTATTATTATTTATTAATATTATTTATTATTATTTACACAAAAGTTGTCCTTATTAATTATTGCTTCAACTTTGGGAATAGTTATGTTGTGCATGCCAAAACGATGTCGTTTTATTAAAAAATGCGCGTCTCTCCTTTAAAAAAAATCAGGTTCAATTCCTAGCAACAACATTATATTGTTCATTCATTTTGGAATTTTAGTTCATAGATTATGGAATTATAGTTCATTGATTCTGGAATTGTAGTTCATCGATTCTGGAATTTTAGTTCATAGATTATGAAATTTTAGTTCATTCATTCTGGAATTTTTAGTTTATAGATTAGATTCTGGAATTATAGTTTATCTATTCTGGAATTATAGTTCATCGATTTTGAAATTTTAGTTCATATGTTGTTGCTGAGTATCGAACCTGAATTTTTTTTTTTAAAGGGGAGACGCACGTTTTTAATAAAACGACGTCGTTTTTGTATCCGTATGCACCATGCATAGTGCATACGGATGCACAACATAATTTGCCCAACTTTGGTGACTAATTAAAGATTAATCTTACTTGTTCTCAAATGTATTATGTTTTCTCTTATTAATAATTAAAGCATATTAAGTGCATACATACATACATAAAAATGTAAAATATGTCTCTAGAGAGCAAAATAAAAATAAATCATTAAAATATTTTGATTTTATTTTTTGAAACATTATTTAAAACAATTTATAAATATTTTTCAGAAGTTATTTTTCTGGTTTTCAAACGGACCAAATATATTATATATATATATATATATATATATATATATATATATATATATATATATATATAAAATTACCAAGTTTGCATATTTATTAGTTGTTAAAGACTGCATATTAAGTGTTAAAGTTTACATGGTAAAATTGATGATAATTATTAATATGTCACCACATCATTTTTTTTTTCTTTAAAAAAATTCTGATCAAATTCGTCAAATTTTTACAAATGCCAAGCTGAGATTTGTTCTTAATTTTTCTAAAAATGTATTCTCATGAAATCCTAAGCCTTATAAGTTATCCACTAACTCCGTACTAAACAAGTCTATAATTTATGAACTAACTTCTCATCACATCTCAGCTTCGTTGAAGGTGCGGCAAGTTGGTCATGTACATGTGAAAATATTCATATTTCTTTGTCATGTCTTGTGGGTTTCTCTGCATGACCGAGTCAAACAGTATTGTCTTTAAGTAGAGTAGTGGCCTAGTGGACACTCATAATTGATGATATCAACAATCTTTGGAGAGTGATATTAATTGAATAGTCCAACTCACATGCGGAATAATAACAGTACAGAGTCTTTTTTTTTTTTGTTTTTTTTTGTTTTTTTTTTTTGTTTTTTTGTTTTTGTTTTGAGAACCCTTTCGTTATACAAATATGAGATTCATAAGATGTCCGTATGAGCAACTCAACTGGTCATAGAGACGAAAGTTGAAAAAAATGATATTCATAAAGTAACCATAACATATTAATTCTTATCACATTCGAGAGAAATAGAAAAATATAAATTAAAAATCTATGCAGTATATCTCTTTTTCTTAATTCATTTTTAATAAAAGTATTATACATTTCATACTAGACTAACTTTTTTTTTTTATATTTACACAAAATTTGTCCTTACTAATTATTATTTTAACTTTGGCAACTAATTAAAGATTAATTTACTTGTCTTCAAATGTATTATGTTTTCTCTAATGAATAATTAAAGCATATTAAATGCATACATACATTTTAAATGTCTCTATAGAGTAAAATAAAAATAAATCATTAAAATATTTTGATTTTATTTTTGAAACATTATTTAAAACAATTTATGAATATTATTTAGTCTTTTATAATTTATTTTTTTTGAGTACAGTCTTTTATAATTTATACATATAATGTATTTTTTATATTCACATGCTCAACATAATAATTTGCCTAGTGGAGAGTGATAGGGCCCAATGGTCCTTTTCTTCTACACATTAATTGTCTTTATTATTTATCAATTATTGCTACAATTTTTAGCAGGAGTGTCGCCCAGCTACCTGAAGAATCCGATGAAATTTTCTGAGACGACTTGTACAAAGTCACGCCTATTGTAGTTTTGTTTGTTCATCATATTTCATATGCTTTTCAATCTCCCTTCTAATTACTTCCCTGCTTGTGTTAGAGGAATCCGGCCGATTGAATTCCGGCCATATCAATATATGGCTTCATAGATGGCTTCTACCTCTTCTTCTGTTACTGCTTCGCCATCCACTCAGGGATGGACGTATGATGTTTTCTTGAGTTTTCGAGGTCCAGATGTTCGTAAAACTTTTATAGATTTCCTTTTTGAATCGTTAGAACGTAGAGGGATTCACACTTTCAAAGATGACGATCGACTGGAGAAAGGGGACTGCATCTCTCAGAGCCTACCAAATGCTATTCGGGAATCAAAGTTTTTTATCGCAGTCTTCTCCAAAGGCTATGCTTCGTCAAAATGGTGTTTGGAAGAACTTGCAACAGTCATGGAATGCCAAGAAAAGTTGAAGGAGCAAATTGTGGTGCCAATTTTCTACCACGTGGAGCCCACAGATGTCCGGAATCAAAAAGGAAGTTATGAAAATTCGTTCAAAGAATTGCATGAAAAAATTGGCAAGGATGATGAGAAGGTAAGAAGATGGAAGGAAGCCTTAAACAAGGCTGGCCAACTCAAAGGGTATCATTTGAAGAATGACTATAACGAGTATGCTTTCAACTTCATTCCTCTTCTCGTATGATTCATCTTTAATATATTATGCCTGCCCTTTAATTTGCTTCTTTAATATTTGCTCATCAGCTGTTTCTGTCTGCTTACTTTCTTCTTTTATTTTTAATTGGAATAAGGTTCAAATTGACCACTGACCGTAACCTAAAAGTGCAATTAGGTCACTGAACGGAAAAAAGTGCAATTAGGCCACTGAACACTCTAAAAACGTGCAATTTCAGCTGATAGTCGGTTACCATCAATTTTAGCAGGTTACTTGCTTACGTGGCAGCTGAGTTGACATTTTTAATAAATTTTAATAATAAATAAATAAAAAACACGGCCACCCCATCGTTTATTTTTTATTTAATTTTTTTTTTCAATTTTTTAAAAATTTATTATTAAAATTAATTATTAAAAATTATTAAAAACACCAACTCAGCTGCCACGTAAGCAGGTAACCTGCTAAACTTGATGGTAACTTGCTATCCGGTGAAATTGCATACATTTGGAGAGTTCAGTGGCCTAATTGCACCTTTTAGAGTGTTCAGTGGTCTAATTACACTTTGTTTTAGTTCAGTGACTTAATTACATTTTCAGGTTACGTTCGGTGGTCAATTTGAACCTTATTCCTTTTTAATTTCTATGCAAGTACGTAGTGGTTATAATTATAAAAGTAGTGTGAATATTTTTGTTAGTATAGACGTCCGTTAAGGATTTTATTAAGAAAACAACTGCAACTTTTTCTGATGCATGAAATGATGGAAATTAATTTTATATAGATGTCTCGATGCTATCTGTTGAGTTTGTCTCATATATGAATTAGAAATATGAGTTTGTCTCATACTAGGGGTAGGAGTGAAACAGGTAGACCTTTTGTACAGGGATTAGACGCCTATAAATATATTGGTTGTATCCCTTTGTAAAGGGATTGTGTCACCACTATTACCATAATCACTATGAATAATTGCCCGTTTGGTTCACGGAATAGTCCTGGAATGGAATAGCATTCCCAGTAATAGGCCTATTCCGGTGTTTGGTAGAAATTTCTATTCCCGGGAACATTGTTCCTGGGAACGACCTATTCCCCTTACAAGGGGAATAGAGGAATAGAGATTCCGGCCACCCCTGGTATTAGGCTATTCCTGAGTTCTCAGGAATAGCTTTTATATTTTATTTTCTATTTTACCCTTTGCTTAACCAACTGCTATATTTCTCTCTCTTTGCCAACTCCACCATCTGTTTCATTTTTTCCCTTTTTCTCTCTGTTTCTTTGCAACCGGAAACTCGCAGCACTGCCTCTCAAAATAATAATAATAATAATAATAATAATAATAATAATTTTATACAAGGGCATTTATGTCTTTTAAACATATATTCTATTCCTATTCATTAACCAACCAAACATTGGAATACAGTTCCCATTGTTTATTCCTTTAGCGAACCCAACAACAAAATACAATTCCTATTCTATTCCTTACCTATTCTATTCCCTATGGAATAACACTCCTATTCCCTCCAAATTCATTCCGTGAACCAAACGGCCCATAAGAGTATTGTTTCACCCCGTGGATGTAGGCACATTGCCGAACCACGTAAATCTTGTCTTCTTTACTTTTCTGCCATTATTATTATTTTCTTTCTTGTTCTTATTAATCTCAAGACTATCAATATTACAATTAGTTCAATCTTGTCAGATACGAAGCAACATGTGCTGAAAATGTTGCTGCCGACATACATGCTCGATTGAATCATGCATCGCTAGCCTTTGAGGAGAACTTAGTGGGGTTGGAATCTAGAGTTAATAACATTGGTAACTGGTTGATGTTGGATTCTGATGATGTTCGATTCATTGGCATTTGTGGTATGGGAGGTATCGGTAAGACAACAATTGCAACAGCTGTTTTTAACAGATTTTCGTCCCAATTTGAAGGAGCTTGTTTTCTTGCCGATGTTAGACAACATAATGTCATTGAATTGCAAAAGACCCTTTTAACAAAAATCCTAAAGGTAAAATCAGGAGTAAAAATAAGCAATGAGGTAGATGGAATGGCGAAGATAAGAACGAGGCTTAAAGAGAAAAAAGTGTTGATAGTTCTTGATGATGTAGATGACCAGCTGGAACAATTAGAGAGATTAGCGGGAGGTGGTCATTGGTTTGGTAGGGGTAGTAGAGTGATTATTACTACAAGAGATGCCCGGGTATTGCGTTCCCATGTAGTTGATGAAAAGTATATATATGAAGTAGAAACATTGGGAGAGGATGAAGCTATTCAACTGTTCAGTTTGTTTGCCTTTAAAAAGGAAGCTGCGCCTGATGTCAAAGAACTCTCTGGATTAATAGTGCGTTATGCTATGGGTCTTCCACTAGTTCTCAAAGTTTTGGGCTCTTATCTTTGTGGATTAAAGGCTGTCTACTGGAAAAACATCTTGGTGAAACTCAAGGACTCTGACTCCGTCCACACCCCCAAAGATAAAATTCTCAGAGTGCTTATGATAAGTTTTGATGGACTAGATCTTGAAAACCAAAATGTCTTTTTACATATTGCATGTTTTTTAAGAAACTGGAGGGAAGAAGTTGTAAAAGATGTGGTTGACAGTGATCTACTTGTGCTCATTGAAAAATCTCTTATATCTGTCAAAAATGGAAAAATTGAGATGCATGATCGAATTCAAGAAATGGGTTTGCATATTGCAAGCAAGGAGAACCCAAGAAAAATGGTATGGCGGCTTAAGGATGCTAATGACGTGTTTAGCGGAGCAATGGTAAGGCATATATATATATATATATATATATATATATATATATATATATATATATATATAGTAAGATCCCGTAGAAAAATTAGTAATTAGTCGGTTAAAATGATGGTTATGCATATATAGTACATGCATGTGGTTTCTTATTTCGTAGATAATGCATGCATGCATAATGTAATAAGATTATGTTATTATTGGTTTAATAACTCCATGGAGGCATTGTATATGTGGGTATCCCTTCCCTTATAATTAAAAAAAAAAAAAGCTATTGAATTCCTAATTAATAAGCTAGCTAACATTATTATATATTGAATGCATTTAAATTATTAGAGTGTGTACTGTACTGTACTGTTTTCTTATTTCAGGAACACATAGAAGGTATTGTGCTTTCTGATGATCAGGGGCCTCCTGAGAAAAATACCTTTAAAATTACTCTCAGTGGGATGAGAAATTTGAAGATGCTCAAAGTTGGTGGTGATATTGTTTTCAGCATCATTGATGGTTATCTTCCTAGCAGTTTGAGGTGGCTTGAAATTAAATCTTATGCTTCCGATTCATTACCAGGAAGCTTTAAACCATCGAAGCTTGTTGGTCTTACTTTGGAGAAAAGTTCTCTAAAAAATTGCAGGATCACTCAGGTATATGATTCTAATCTGACTTGCTACATATATGGTGTCTTTTTTTTTTCATCAAAGACTTTGGACTTATTCTATTCTCCATCTTTTCTTGCAGAAATTAGACAAATTGACCCTTCTGGATCTTAGTTATTCCAAGTCTTTGGAAGAAACCCCAGATTTTGATTTGATGCCAAATTTGATGACATTATACCTTGTTGGCTGTGAGAATTTAAAAGTGGTCCACTCATCTATTGGAAAGCTTAGGGAGCTTGTTTTATTGGATTTAAGCAGGTGCAATAACCTTGAAGAGCTTCCCAGCTTTAATCAAGTTTCATGTCTCAAGGATCTCGGTCTTGAATCCTGCAGCAAATTAAAGAATTTTCCAGAAATTGAGGTAACAATGCCACATCTAGTGGAGTTGAAATTAAGAAAAGTTGGAATCATAGAACTCCCTTCATCGATCCAGCAATTGCAAGGCCTCACTAAGCTATATTTGGATGATTGTGAACATCTTGTATGCATTTCTAACGGCTTCTGTGAGCTGCAAAATCTCAAAGTTCTTGTGATTAACCATTGCACAAATTTGAAGTCGTTGCCAAAAAATCTCCAAGACTTGACCTCGTTGGAATTCTTGAATCTCAATGGAAGTTGTTTTTATTCTTTACCTAAAAGTTTCAATCAACTTCCTTACCTTCAATACCTTGACATCAGAAATTGTGTAAACCTTAAAAAGCTCCCAAAACTCCCAAAAACCACCTGCCAACTATATGCAGATTCTTGTTTTTCCTATAGAAGACACATAGATGAGTTAGCAGACTTCCCGAAATTACAATCAGTAGCATTCTCTTTCTCTTATAAAGTTGGAAGGTCAGTGTATGATTTTGCTGATGAGATGTGTATTCATTTTCCCTCTCATAGAAAGACTCCTTTCAGTGTTACCTATCCAATCAAGGATGAGGATTTCGATAAGGTCAATGTCTTGAGAATATTCCAATATCAATGCTATAAGTCAAATGGTATCGCCATTGATCTCAATCCCGGCTGGAATTGTCAAAGCTTTGTGGGATTTGTGATATGTTTCCTCCCAAAATCAAATGTATGGAGATTACACTCCCACAGCGACATTGTTGATGTTGAGCATTGCACAATCATAGTCAAATTGTCATGCAAAGATAATACAAATGAAGTTCACCCAACAAAATGTGTCATTGTCAAATCAAGTGATGGTTCAGAATCCAAAGGAAGCTTATGCTTTGCCTACATACCATTTAGTGGTTTGTGGCCTGCAAAATCTAATAGTGTAACCCCAAATGATTTTTCAAGATTTGAGGTGAACTTTATGGGTTCAGAAGCGACTTCAAATGGGAGCTTTATGGAATCGAAAGCAATTGCAGGTTGGGGTTTTAATTTGTTATATGAAAGGTAAACATATTGATTTTGGTTCCTCTTCATTTACTTTCTTTCTTGAACTTTTTAATACTTTGTACTACATATGTTAGTTCAATATTAGCTACAACTTTCCAACTTCTTTTAGTCTATTTTATTTAGGCCAATGAATTTATATCAAGCATGCTTGTTTATTTTCTATCAAGCATGCTTGTTTATTTTCTAACATAATTATTAACTTGTACTTTTTAATTATTGAATAAATAAACACAATGTTTATGCATATTGCTTTTACTTTTTTCAGGAGTGAAAGACCAGCAAGTTGGGATGATAGTTGTGAAGGTACTCATACTTTGCTCATTTATACTATTATATATATATATATATATATATATATATATATATATATATAGTGGTTTGAATGTGGATAGTATTTTTCGTGTGGCCAGTGTAAATTCACCATGAGGTATGCATAAATGCACCACACAATGTTTAGAAATGCACCATAAAAATACCACACACAAAAAATGCATTACACCTCATCACACCAAATTGTGAGGGATCGCTCGGCAGCACAATAACTTATGATATAACACCATATATATATATATATATATATATATATATATATATATATATATATATATATATATATATATATAAAAGAGCCAATAAATTAAAGTTAGGCCTATATATAACATAAATTCTTTTGAAAAAAATGGCTGTCTAATTATTTGATTAAATGAATGATTCAATTTTTTTTAGTATTTGTTTTATATTTTTTCTAGTTTATCTTTTATTTATATAATTTATTTTTCCAAAATATACCCACATTTCGTCAATATAAACTTTAGTAACGAAATATTTTCCGTTAAGTATTTATTATTCTTAACATATTCATTGATTTCTATAAGGAAAGTCATAGATTCAAATCTTATCCTAATCATCATTAGCATAATTGTTGAAAATATACTATGAATATATTAGATGTATTAAAAAATACAATATAATACTCCTTTTACCCCATTTACATTAATAATGCTCCAGTTATGTTTTTTCTTTTAAATATTTTATCTACTTTTAAAAATAGTTGTAGTTTTAACTATTATAATTCAAATTAAAGGAAAGAAAAAAAAACCACAAAATTAATTTGATAAAGTTAATTGTATATACAAGCTAATTCTATTTTTTGAGAAAACATATCCTACTAATTTCAAAACTAAAAAAGATGCAAAATATTTTCTATCAATAATCTTATTAATCAAAATGTAGCTCGATCAACGTACCATAATTCTCATAGAACATTGGGTTACAGACTTACCGAGTTTTTTTTTTTTTTTTTTGTTCAACTGTGATTTTGAAATGAAATTTTCAATATTTAATAAAGTCATATCATTTTTCTTCTAATTAATTTCTTTAATGCATGGTTATGCATACATTATTGTCACTTATAAAAAGTAATTCCCAAGAGAAGAAATTTTTTTTGAACATGTTGAACATTAGGCTCTAAAAAGTTATGTTTGATCTTTATGGTGTAGAATTTAAAGAATGGGATATATATATATATATATATATATATATATATATATATATATATATATATATATATATATATATGTGTGTGTGTGTGTGTGTGTGTGTGTGTGTGTGTGTGTGTGTGTGTGTGTGTTCATCTTACTAACTAAACTATAAGTTTTTGCTAAAAAAAATGAATATATATCAAAGGAAAAGAAGGTGAAGATGAGGAAATGGGTGAATCACTTGATTGTGACAAAGATGTTGGAGAGTATGAAACAAAAGAAAGTAATGCAGGGCACAGTGTTGAAGTTGCAATGTCAGAACATAATGATTCAGGTAATTTATTTCTTAAACTATCATTATAATTATTCTATATATATATATATATATATATATATATATATATATATATATATATATACTCTTTAATATAATAGAAGGTGCGTTTCATTTCAATTAAAAGATAAAGATGAGTCAAATAGTACATTAATATTTTTTTTTGTCAATATACCAATTGAAAGGTGGTTTATTTCAATTACAATTTTTAACTTATATGATACTACACATTTATTATTTTATATATCAACTACCAAAAAATCCAATGGCATTTTAACCCAACAAAAAAAAGGGGGGTGGGTGGGGGTGTTTTTTTTCTTTTTCTTTTTCTTTTAATTTAATTTTAATTTATTTAAAATTTGTAATATATATATATATATATATATATATATATATATATATATATATATATATATATATATATATATATATATATTTTTTTTTAAAAAATTAATATTTTAAAAAATTTCTACATGGCATTCGGTAATCGAGTAGCAAAAGGTTTTATTAACAAATTAGACAAATTGTACAAAATTGATTAATTTATGGATCTGATTGAATTATTTTTTTAAGTTTAGTGTCCAACTACATTATCACGTGGAGTTTGATGTCTCTTATTTGAGTATTATTCTTTTTTTTTTTAATAACCCTGTCTAAAAGTTTTACACTTTATTTGTTAAAGGGGAAATTGTAATTTATGTCCCTTCATAATATGTCAATTATCAATATCATCATTGAATTATTAGTGGTGCAAATGTTGGCTCTCAATTTTAAAAAATGGTACATATATTGCCTTCCGGTGGTGTAAATTTTGCCCCTCAATTTTTAAAACGGTACATATATTGTCCCTCTCGTACTATACGGGAGGGGCAATATATGTACCGTTTTAAAAATTGATGGGTAATATTTACACCACTAATAATTCATGGGTGACCATTGATAAAATTTTACTATTACAATTAACATTTATATACGCAACATTGTTTGGCGAATGATTTGGCCTCTCATGATCATGCTAGTTTATTTATCTTTAACTGTAACTTTGTTGATTTCAACGTTTCAAAATGAAGCTTATTTCTTTTAATCTTGGGGAAACTCTCTTTGTTAACCTTGACTACAAATACAACTGATTTCATAATTCATAAAAAAAATTGAAAAATGTCATACTATTTTAATTTGTAAAGGAGGGAGTAATTATCAATTTGTACAGTCAGCCCAACTCAATTATTGGAAAAGAAATACAAAGTGATCACAATTATCATATTGAAGAAGATTATGAAACTACAACATCGCAACATGAACTTGGTAAATATATATTTCTAAATAACAATTACTTTAGCCCTTCATACCATCCTAATAAAATTCTATACTACGTTATGGATACTTCTTACTCTTTAGCATTTTATAATTAAGAATATTTATCTAATAAGAAAAAGATTTTAAAATCTTTATATATATATATATATATATATATATATATATATGTGTGTGTGTGTGTGTGTGTGTGTGTGTGTGTGTGTGTGTGTGTGTGTGTGTGTGTGTGTGTGTGTGTGTGTTAAATACTATTACACTATTATTATATTATTATATATTCACACACACAGACATTGATTGTTCAATAAGCTTCAAAAAGAGGTAATTTATATCGTGCATCCTGGTGCAAGACAACGTCGTTTTGTACTTTTTTTTTTATTTTTTAAATTTAGCTTTTTCGTTTTGCTGTTACTTTGTTAAAATAAAAATTCATGTTTTAAAAATGTACATAATTGTATATGAGAATGTACATAATTGTATAATATAATACACATAAATTTTTAATTGTTAAAAAAATTGCGTATTTGAATGTATATAATTGTATAAAAAAGGTACATAATTATATAAAATAATATACATAATTGTATACCACAATGTACATAATTGTATAACATAATGTACATAATTATATAACATAATACACGTACACTCTGTCGCGTCAACTCATCATACAACTTGATAACACAACGTCGTTTGGGAGGCGCGAGATGCACAGTGCCATGTGCACCGTGGTGCAGTGTATAACGATTGTAAAAAAGATCAATGGTTCAACTACTAAGTTTATACACACAGTTACGTTATATATTTTAATATTAATACGATACAAATATGGTTGAAGTGATACTTCAATTCCTTCATCGAATTTTGAATGCCTTATATTTTATTTGTTCGTCAAAATAAATTAAATAATTATTTGTCACCTATTTTCTTCAACATTTTTTTCTAATATTTAAAACTCATTTTTTATTTTAATTAGATTTTATGTAATATTTACTCACTAAAACAAAATTAACTTATGAATAGTTTGAGTAAGGTCTTAATTATCGATCTCATGCATACATTGCTAGTGTTGCAAACTTGCAATGTGTTGCAAAGGGTAACACAGTGCTAAAGAGGTTTGGAACTTTGGATGGCATAAACGTTGTTATTTATAAGTGTATGTGCGTAACAAATGCGTTCGTAATTCAATCAACATATATCATATCATTCATAAATCTATTAGAGTAAATAACATATTTTAATAATTAATATTAAATCAAATGGGTTCATGCAAATACGTTGACATGATAATTTTAAATAAGTCAACATGTTAACCTGAGCCATTTTAAAGATTTAACCCTTTATTTTCGTGTGTAATTTCAAGTCTTATTGGATCGGCTTTGTTGACAATTGCTAGGTCTAAATAGAACCAAATTGTGGAAGTCTACTGAAATTGTAGATCAAGTTCAATGCCGAATCGTTTCCATGCCAGAGTGCTTTAATACTAAGGTTTTTGAACTATTTTTTCTCTATTATTTTTCTTGTAGTTCATATTTCTTATTGATAGAAAATTGGTGCTTTAAATAATAAATAAGTTGTAGGTATTAAGTATTTAATTCTCCATGAATTTCAATACTTGATGTTGAAATGGATTTTGTTAAGGTTGCCCGACTTCTTTATACAAATTCTGGTGTTGGCATCTTGGCTCTTAGCTCAGATGGTATTCAAAAACTATGGAAATGGCCCAACAATGAACAAAATCCAACCGGAAAGGTAGTGAATAGATTATGAGATTTATTATTATTATTATTATTATTTTCTTTTTGCATTACTATTTATGTTAATGTCTTGCATTAATGTTTTGTAAATGGTCGAGTTTCTAAAGTTTACGGTGTCTAAAGGCCACTGCCAATTCTGCTCCACAACATTGGAAACCAAATAGTGGTCTTCTTATGATTAATGATGTGATAGGTGTCAACCTCGAGAAAGTAATTCCTTGCATCGCCCTCTCGAATGATGACTCTTATATTGTGTCAGCTGCTGGTGGAAAGATTTCATTGTTTAATATCATAACATTTGAGGTATGGGCTGTATGGCTATCGAACTAGTTTAACTCTTAATTATCACATTTGGCTTTATAAATGATCATGTGTGCATGCTTATATTTCTATAATGGAGTTAATATCATATGAGATCCTCCGAGTATAGTAATTTTGTCACGTTTAGTCCTAAACTTTCAAATTGATCATCTGTGGTCTTTTGACTTTCAAATTTAACCATTCGTGGTCCAAGTTAACCACCTATGGTCCTTCAAATATTAAATTTTAACCAACCATGGTCCTTTCAAGAGGACCACGACTGGTTAAATTTTGAAACTTGAAGGACCATGGGTGGTTAACTTGGACCACGAATGGTTAAATTCGAAAGACGAAGGACCACAGATGGTCAATTTGAAAGTTTAGGACTAAACGTGACAAAATCATTATACTCGGAGGATCTTAGATGGTATTAACTCTTCTATAATGTATATGTGATGTAGGTAACGGAAACAATCACGTTGTTGTCATCTGCACCAACTTTCTTAGCTTTCGATCATGATGACAATAACCTTATTGCAATTGGTACGGAGAAATCATCCATACATATATATGATAGGATAGAAAAGGTAAGTCATTTATGACGACATATCATATCTTATATTGCATTATGCATATAATAATTTAACATGTACTAATTTAATTGATTTTTAAATATAGGAATCGAATGAACTTAGAGAACATCAGAAACCTATCACTGGTCTAGCATTTTCTACAAAGCTTAAATTGCTGGTTTCATCAGATGCTGATTCCCAGGTAAGCATATGTAGGTCGATTAGCAAAGGAATGATAAACAACTATGGCAAGATCCATTCAATTAGCAGTACAGTGGAACATCCCATGAGTCCATGCATGACTAATTATGTAGCGACATAACAACAAACTTTTTGATTGCAAATTTATGAATTTTGTAGAAAGTTCAAGAAGTTTTCAAATATTTGTGTTTTCTATGTTATTCACTCTGTGCATACCGAAATTTATTATAACAAAAAGTTAACTGGAAACCAAGATTACATTTTTTTTTTTTTTTTAGCTTTGTAGCTGGAGCACTAGTTTATGGAAAAAGAAAAAATCAGTTCGCATCCAGTTGCCTACAGGTGAAGTGTGTTCAGGTGTTACACATGTGATGTTCCATGTTGACCAACTCCACTTACTAGTTACACATGAAACACAATTGGCAATATATGATGCATCCAAGATGGAGCACATAAACCAGGTAGAACGTGTTTTCTCAAATTTTGAAATACGCTAATTAACACTACCGTACCGGATTTAAATTTGGAGTATGCATGTGTTGTTTCAGTGGATCCCACATGGTTCCTTTTCTGCACCAATCTCTTCTGCTACATACTCTTGCAATTGCCAACTAATATATGCATCCTTCAAAGATGGGAATATTGGAGTGTTTGATGCACATAGGTTAAGACCGAGATGTTGTATTGCTCCATCTGCTTATTTATCCCAGGCTGTATTGAATAGGTAAGAGCACCTTCCTATGTCTAAAAATTTTGATGATTTCAAGAGCTTGTTGGAAATTAAGTTATTTTTATGAATTGAATTAAAATAGATTGATTAAATTTATATCTCAAAAGCAATATATACTGATGAATCAAATTAAAGGTCCAATAACAACAAACTAACAAACAACTTTAGATAATGATGTTGATTTGGCCTATAATTTTAGAATATATTCTTGTTTTTTTAATGAACAAAATATATATATATATATATATATATATATATATATATATTCTTTTTCTTAATAAAATGTTAAGTTGTCTATGTTATATTATTGCAGAAATGAGGGTGTGTATGCAGTTGTGATTGTAGCGCATCCACAAGAGCCCAACCAACTTGCATTTGGATTGACAGATGGGTCTATTAAAGTTATTGAACCATTGGAATCCGGAGGGGAGTGGGGAATATCTAGTAAGTATTTTATACTTTTTAATCATTTATATGAATAGCATTCAAAAAAAATATGAACATCTAAGTAACAAAAAGATAAAAATATTCTTGTAAATATCAATTACGTAATAACATTTTAAAAAACATTTTAATACATAACACATTAGATGCTAAGGAGTATTATATACATACATTTATATATACAAACATACATATATGCATACACACATGTATGTATGAATGAATTAATTAATTTTGTTTTGGATAGAATAAACTATAATTTTTCTTAGCCTATTAAACAAAAAAAATGGTTTATTAATGAAAAAAAAATAAAAATTTGAATATTTTGTGACAATTCTATATATCTAAACATTTAAATTTTGATGATTTAATATTAAATTTTCAATAAGGTTCAATAGGTTAATGGTTCAATTACTGATTGTATATACGCTCACACATTATTATTATTTTTTAAAATATGGATTAATTAAAAAAAAAAAAAAAGCTCATCAAAATGATAAAGGCCCTGTTTGGTAAAAAATTGGCTTATAGGCCAATTTTAGCTTATTTGACCACTATTAATTGTTTTTTTGAAAAAACCAATATGGTTATATTTATATATGAATCAAAACAGAGTCAGGTGGGATTCCATCCCAGTACATAGCTAACGAATAATTAAAGGCATCTGATGCTAAATCATGAGCTATAGCATTCTGTGATCTAGGAATAAATATAATTGAGATAGAATTAAAAGTAGCAATTAATCGTCTGCACTCATCTAGGACATAGCCAAGATAAGATCGTGGCTGAATAGAGGACTCGAGATAGCTTCGCAATGTCTGGCAATCCGTGTAGATTTGGACCGATTCTTCTCCTCGCTGTTTGAGCCATGATAAAGCTTCCTTACATGCTAGAGTCTCAGCCATAAGGGGTGAGAAACAAGTTTGTGGTGGCACGCAGTAGGCCGATACATAAGCTCCAATATGGTCTCGTAATAGAACTCCGGTTGTAGCTTTCATCAAGACGGCATCGTATCCTGCATCTATAAAGCATTGTTTCGGATATATAGGGCCGTCCGGCAGTAGTGTTGACGTGGGCGGGGCTGGCACGGCAGTGGTGGCAATAGCGGAGACCGGCAGTATCGCAGTAGGCGCTACTGTTGACGTCGGCAGGGCTGGGACGGCGTTGGCGGCAGTAACGGAGGCCGGCAGTATCCCGGCAGCATGGTGTGTGGCAGTGGGCATCTCGGTCGGCAGTGCTACCGGCGGTTGTTTGGCATGTAGTGATTGCCATGTATTCTTCATAGATAGAGTTGCTAATACAACCCTCTTTGGTAATTGTAGGCTTGCATCCCATACCGCTCCGTTTCGGGCTCTCCAAATATTGTATAAAATTCCAGCTGCAAACAACATTTCATTAGAGTCTAGAACATTCATAATTGTCCTAAACCATTCATGAAAAATATTTGTGGTAACATGGGGTAATGGAAGGCCAGATTGGTTCCAAATGGTTTTCGCATAATCACACAACACTAATGAGTGCATAACATCTTCATTGATCAAACCACACATGGCACATATTGGATCAACTTCCACTCTCTTTATAAGCAAGTTGTTAGTTGTAGGGAGGATATTACTTATAGCTCTCCACAAAAACATTCTCCACTTTGGTGGTATTTGTAGTTTCCATAAAGCGTCCCACTTATCAAACCCCGGGGTATTTTCATAAATGCCCACCACATGCCTGTATCCATTCTTTACTGAGTAGCATCCATTTGGGTCATCATACCAATACCACGTATCATTATAATCCGGGGAGACAGTATTTTTAATATCCTTGGCACATCACTTGGATCAAAAATATCTGTTAAAATATGTGGGTCCCATGTACCAGTTGTTTGATCTATTAAGCCGGATACCTTTGCATTCACTAATTGTGGTGGCATTTCTGTTTGGATCATAGGGTCCAATTCATCCTGTAACCAAGGATCCTTCCATATATGAGTGGAGTCACCATTCCCAATACGGCGCCTCACCCCACCAACTATCAAGTCTTTGGCTGCTATAATACTCCTCCAACAGTAGCTAGGATTATTTCCTAGGCATGCTTCGTTAAACGGGCGGTCATGATAATACCTGGCTTTATAAATGCGGGCTACCAAGGAGTCAGGATTGGTAAGAAACTTCCATGCTTGTTTTCCTAGCATAGCCAAATTAAATGCTCTCAAATCTTTAAATCCCAAACCTCCATATTTCTTTGGGATACATAGTTTATCCCAGGATTTCCAATGGATACCACGATCCGTTCCAGAACCCCACCAATACCAGTTCAATTTGCGCTCGATAGCAGAGCAAGCAGATACTGGCAACAAAAATACAGTCATTGAAAAAGTAGGCATTGCTTGGGCTACACTTTTCAACAATATTTCTTTCCCGGCCTGTGTTAGGAGCCTTTTATTCCATGAGCCTATTCTCTGCTTTATTTTGTCTTCAATATAGGCAAAAGCCATTTTCTTATTTCTTCCAACAAATGCTGGCAGTCCCAAGTACTTCCCAAAATTCGGCTCCTGGACCACTCCTAGGGTCTGCGCCACCATATCCCTGTCAGCTTCACTAGTATTCTTACTGTAACAAATACTAGATTTCTGATAATTGACCATTTGCCCAGAATAATTCTCATAAACAGTCAGAATATTCTTAACCTCAGTCGCCTCCTGTACATTTGCCTTAAAAAATAGTAAACTATCATCAGCAAAGAACAAATGTGAGACAGGGGGCGCCGCTCGTGCCACCCTACAGCCATGAATTAATCCATTAACCTGTGCCTGCTGTAATAATAGAGAAAGGCCCTCCGCACAAATAATAAATAGATATGGGGATAGAGGATCTCTCTGTCTGAGCCCACGAGTAGGTAATATTGCCTCTGTAGGAGAACCATTTATTAGAAATCTGTAGGAGACTGTGGTAACACATAACATGATCAAATCTATCCAACTCTCATCAAAGCCTAAAGCTTTAAGCATCCCTTTCAAAAAAGGTCATTCCATACGATCATATGCCTTAGCCATGTCCAGCTTTAAGGCTCCCCATCTATTAACACCACATTTTTTTCTATTCAAGAAATGTCCCACCTCGGCTGCTACTAAAATATTATCAGTAATTAGCCGATTAGGGATAAACGCACTCTGTGTGTCCGAAATAATATTTTCCATCAGGGGTTTCATTCTCCGCGTAATCATCTTGGCCATTACCCTGTATATCACATTACTTAGGGCTATTGGTCGTAGATCAGATACTAACTCTGGGGTATCTTTCTTGGGAATTAACACAACATTTGTTTCATTCAATGCAGGGGAGATAGTACGCATATTCAAGCATTCCACAATATAAGTAGCCATGTCACCTCCCACAATATCCCAGAAATGTTGATAGAAACCTGGGTTCATTCCATCTGGGCCTGGGGCTTTATCTGGGAACCTTGAAAACAGTGCCACCCTTACCTCATCAATCGTAAATGGCCGTAATAGTGTCTCATTTTGTTCATGCGAAACCTTTGGTACCACTTTCTCAAACAGCTCATGGCCAGATATAGGATTACTAGATTTAAACACATTGACAAAATAATCCATAACCACATTCTTCATATCATTCCCCTCAACCCAATCCCCTGAATTATTCATAATACGAGATAATGAATTTTTCTTTTTACGGTGAGAGGCATACCTGTGATAGAATTTAGTGTTGGCATCCGCATTCTTGAGCCAATGCTGTTTTGCTCGTTGTTTCCAATACGCATCCTCTTGGGCCTCCATATTACTCAATTCCACCTCCAGGCGCTGGAATTCAGTTAAAGAGCCTACATCCGTTCGTCCTCTGAGTTTCAATTGCTCTCTCCGGAGAGCTTTGATCCGGTCACCAAATTTATGATACCTGTCTCCCCCCCACTTAGCCAAGCGATTACCACAATGTGCAATATAGTCCTGCAACCCATTACCCCTCTTCTCATTCCACGATTCCTCTACCACATGCCTGCACCCCTCATCATATAACCAAGCCATTTCAAATATGAATTTTCGTCTGCCTGTCCTCCCAGTTCCTAATGGATCATGAATACCTAGAAAGATGGCAGAATGGTCTGATTGTCTCATTAACAGATTCGTCACATTAGCCCTTGGGACTACATTGGTCCACATACTTGTTGCCAGTACTTTATCCAACCTCTCCTCTATCCATCTTGGCGTACCCTTTCCTTTCTCCCATGTAAATTGATATCCACTCATCGGTAATTGAGCTAGCCCACAGAAGTCTAGAACCTCTCCAAATCCACGCAGGAGGTAATTCGGATGCGGATTACCCCTGTAACACCCCAGATTTTCAAGACTTTTTAAACTTATAATAAAGGTAGAATCTTATTAAATCCCAAGATATAATACAAGCGTTCGGGGTGCTATGCCACACCTGGGCTAGAGAACCCAAGTGCACAGGCTAACTAACTAATATCCTCAAAGTGTGATCTCATAAACGTGGCACGCAGGCCGAAAGGGAGACTATTCTACTTCTACGCTCCAGTTCTAGCGCGCTCCAGTGCTCTAGTCATCTGTGCCTGAAAGCCAAATATATCTGTTCAGCGAGAGATGCTGGTAACCCACTTCAACGCGTTGAAATACAATACATATAGAGATATATATAGATATACGAAAACCATTTTGAACATGAAGATATATCCTACGAACTCTAGCTTTAAAACTGGGAATGACTCGACAGATAAGGCCAGACACAAGCAATAGTCATAACGAGCATATGTAGTTCACAACAGATAAGGCAGTTAAGGCAAGGCATAGACAATAATCATAACCCAATACGAACAATCCCCAATATAAATCCCGTAGTCACAACCCCAAGATACTCATAATAACAACTCGTCCATATCTCATCACATAGCACACTTTGTTGGCGCCACAGGACCAATCGCATGCCCATACATGAGGGTCAGCGCATATAGCTCTGACACGGCCCCGCAGCACCCTGCCCCGTATCCACACGGAGGAGTTGTTCGCTTTGGCTCCCAATGAACCGCAGCTCACAAGAATGTGTAATCTGACTGTAGCCAGGAAACCCATCTGACTACAGCCAGCTTCCGAGCCGCTGCTCGGGAGAATGTCATCTGATTGCAGCCAGGAATTCCCATCTGACTACAACCAGCTTCTGGACCGCTGCCCAGGATACCGTAATCCGACCACAGCCAGGAATTCCCATCTGACTGTAGCCGGCTTCTGAACCGCAGCTCAGGAATAACCAATCCGATCGCAACCGAATTGGGGTAACACGCACACATAACACATAGCAAGCACATGCAACCCATATTACACGTTGGGGAGGGAAATAAACGTATAAGTAAACCTATGCGTGAACCATCACCAACTAGGAATAGTCCTAAGGGGTTCATACTCCTTCCACCTAGGTCAACCGGGTACCAATTCAACTAGCATGCAATATAATCGACTCATAATCCTACGAATGGTACCCGTAATACCAAACTAGACATAGGCACGACAAACGGGGTCTGTTGGGACACCACGGGGATCGGGGAAACATCAAACGGGGAAGCCGGGGTCCCGAGGGGGGGGGGGGGAGTCTCCAGCGGGTAGCCGGTGGGTGGGGGCCACCCGCCGGCTGCCCGCCGGAATTACTGTTCCGGGCAGCGGGTCGCCGGCGGGCAGCTGCCCGCCCGCCGGCCGCCCGCTGTCGGGATCACTGTTCCGGCAGTGGGTAGGTGGCGGGTCCCCTACCCCCCCCACCTACCCCCCACTGACTCTTTACACACAAAACGCCCCGGGAACCATTGTGGAACCCGAAACCATGCTTAGACACTTTACAACGCAATTAACGATCAACACGTAGACAATTAACGGATCAATTACGATAGACGAACGGCACATAACCTAACATGCTTTTCTAATCATAATCAGCACCCAAACATGCGATTTCCCACCCGATAATCCAAGAGTAAGATCATACGATACAACCTAGGGTTCTAATCACTTTTATATCAACAAGAATACGATTCATCTTCTAATTGCAAGATTCGGTAGGAACAACACATAATCATCAAGGATAGCAATAAGAACATCATAATCATCAAGAACAGCACATCATCATCAAGAATCCCAATTAATCATCAAGAACATCCCAATTATCAAGAAACTCCCAATATCAAGATTATCAAGATTCCCCATGGAATCATTAAATCAACATCAATAATAATCATAGTAATTCGCCATTCACAATCATACGGGGGAAACCCTAAGGGGAAATCATAGCTATGAAAATAGGTTTTGTTGAGACATGGGTTACCTCTTAGCCTTAATTAATTCCTTGGCTATGAAGGATCTTTCTTTTAAGCTTTCTTGATTTCTTGATTTCTCCTAGGGGAATTCTTGGAGCTCTCCTGGGGTGATTGGG